AATTGATCCGCCCACCTTGGTCTCCCAAAGTGCTGGGATTACAGGTGTGAACCACCACGTCAGACCCCCCCTTCCCATTTCTGAGACGGCCCCTGCTCATTCTTTCTCTGCAGATTACCAACTTCGTACCAGCTAGAAGGGAGAAGAGATGGGGGCCTGAACAGGAGGCTTCCTTACAGCCCCGGCTGCAGATTTTAGGAGGGAAGGTGCGGGCTTTGCGTGTCTCTGAGGACAGGCCTGGACTTGGCAGTTTCTTGCTCCCAGCACCGGCCCCGTCCTCACCTCTTCCTTACTGCATAGGCTGGGAGAGAAACTCTCTCTGCTTCCCTCGCCCTTGGAGCTTTCCCTGTCCCCCTGATTTTATATGAAGAAATAGAAAAGGGGCTTGAAGTCCCCGTCGCGAGTGCCTTTTTGCAATGACCTGCCTTAGCGGGTGTTGCGGGTCCCTCCTTCTTCACAGCTGCTGAGCCCAGAGGCCCGGCTGGCCCCTCCTCTGAATTTTAGGATGTCATTAAAAAGATGAAACTAGCCGCTATGTGCTTTTTGGATGGGGACATTGCTCAAATGCTGCAGTGGGAGCGGGCAACAGTCCCCGGCCATCGCTCACTTGGGACCCGGGGCAGTCATTTTCCTTCCTGGTCCCCCGCGGCTGCCTTCGCTTCCCACCTCCAGTCTGTTCCCCCAATAGCCGCTAGAGGGCGCCCGCTAGCTTCGCGTCTTTCTTTTTTGAGAGTCTCACAGTTGCCCAGGCTAGAGTGCAGTGGTGCGATCTTGGCTCAATGCAACCTATGCCTCCTGGGTTCAAGTGATTCTCCTGCCTCAGCCTCCTACCTAGCTGGGACTACAGGCGCCCGCCACCACGCTTGGCTAATTTGTGTGTGTGTGTGTGTGTGTGTGTGAGGCGGAGTTTCACTGTCGCCCAGGCTGGAGTGCAGTGGTGTGATCTCGGCTCACTGCAACCTCCGCCTCCTGGGTTCAAGCAATTTTCCTGCCTCAGCGTCCCGAGTAGGTGGAACTACAGGTGCCTGCCACCATGTCTGGCTAATTTTTTTTTTGTATTTTTAGTAGAGATGGGGTTTCACCGTGTTAGCCAGGATGCTCTTGATCTCCTGACCTCGTGATCCGCCCGCCTCGGCCTCCCAAAGTGCTGGGATTACTGGCGTGAGCCACTGCACAGGGCACTCCTATCTTATTAAAGCCATAGCCTGGGCCGGGCACAGTGGCTCACACCTGTAATCCCAGCACTTTGGGAAGCTGAGGCAGGGGGATCACTTGGGGTCAGGAGTTCAAAACCAGCTTGGCTAGCATGGTGAAATTGTCTTTACTAACAAATACAAAAATTGGCCGACCGTGGTACCGGGTGCTTGTAATCCCAGCTACTCATGAGACTGTGGCACGAGAATCGCTTGAACTGGGGAGGTGGAGATTGCAGTGAGCTGAGATCGGGCCACTGCATTCCAGCCTGGGTGACAGAGCGAGACTCTGACTCAAAAAAAAAAAAAAAAAAAAAAAAAAAAAAAAAAAAAAAAGAAAAAAAAAAAAAAAAAAAAAAAAAAAAAAAAAAAAAAAAAAAAAAAAAAAAAAAAAAAAAAAAAAAAGCCTTGGCTTGATCTGCATAATGCCACCTCAATCCCCCACCTACCTGCTCTCCCCTCCTCTGTTGTACAGGCACACTCTCACCTCTGGGCCTTAGCATCTGTTTCCCACCTGGTGTGCTTTTCCCCTTATAACCACAAGTCTCACTCCCTCACCATTACGTCTCAAATCAAATGTCACCTCTTCAGGGAGGCCCTCTCTACCTTTCCATTTTAACGTCTCATCTGGTCAGTCGCCTCTACCACTCTGAAAAGATTTAACTATTGGCCAGGTTTAGGGGCCCATGCCTATAATCCAGCACTTTGGGAGGCGGAGGCAGAAGGATCCGTTGAGCCCAGGAAATCGAGACCAGCCTGGAAAACATAGCAAGAACCCCAACATTAAAAATATATATATCTGGGCCGGCAGCAGTGGCTCATGCCTGTAATCCCAGCACTCTGGGAGACTGAGGCGGGCAGATCACGAGGTCAGGAGATTGAGACCATGCTGGCTAACATGGTGAAACCCTGTCTCTACTAAAAATACAAAAAAATTAGCCAGGTGTGGTGGCATGCACCCGCAGTGTCAGCTACTCGGGAGACAGGCAGGAGCATCGCTTGAACCCAAGAGGCGGAGGTTGCAGTGAGCCGAGATCACGTTACTGCACTCCAGCCTGGGCGATAGGGCAAGATTCTGTCTCAAAAAAAAAAAAAAAATGTGTATTTAAAAACAAAAAACAAACCAACCAAAAACACCAGCCTGGGCAACATGGTGAAACCCAATCTCAACTAAAAATACAAATTAGCTGGTGTGGTGGTTCGCCCTTAGTCACAGCTACTCCGGAGGCTGAGGCGGTTGGATCACTTGAGCCCGGGAAGTCGAGGCTGCAGTAAGCTGTGATCTCACCACTGCACTCCAGCCTGGGTGATGGGAGTGAGACCCTGTTTCAAAAATAAATAAAAATTAACTATTGTCTCCGGCCCCAAACCATAGGTGTCCCTACAGCAGGGGCTGCCTGGCGTGCTCTCCACTCGGGCACCTCTAGGAGATGCAAAATAAATCTTTGAGCGAAGACCTCTGAGTCCCTGTCTGGCTTCGACTCTGTCCTCCCAGGCCTTCCCACGTGTCAGCTGCAGGCTCCTTTCCTCCTGGCTCAGTCTGAGCCAGGCAGGGTGATCCCTTCCTCATCTACCCCGTCTCCCCATTTCCCTTTCTTCACGGTGCTTTACGCTATCTAATATTATTTAGTTGCTTGAATGTGCGCGTGCAGCGCCCAGAACGCTCCCTGCACACAGGGAAAGATGAATGAATGAAATAAAGCGCCCAGCGTGTTGTAAGGGCCAATCAATGTCTATTAGCAGTGGAACCCCGGATTGGGTGGCCCTAGCCCTGCCTCCCTTCCCCCAGGAGGCGCCGAGGTCCCAGAGCAGCCCGCGCTACCCTGTCCTTGACCTTTCTCCCTGGGTCAGTTAAACCGGCCGTCTTTCCCGCCCACCGAGTACATTTGAAAACCGAAAACCCCGCCATTGCTGGCGGGCCACCGGTTGCCGCGCTGACCAAACAGGAGCGACGCCTTTCACCCGGAGCCCGAAATTACCCCGGCGACGCGCATCCATTGGTTACGCAGGCCCTGTGGGCGGAGCGCCGTAAGGTCGCGCCACAGGCAGAGCGGCTTCGTTACACAGCAGCGAATTTGTAAGAAAACAAATCCCCGGCGTTCGGGGTGGGGCCGGGAGCACGTTGGCTCCGCCCCCTGGCTGCTGCCCTGGCTGCGCCGGCGGCGCAGGCTCAGAGCAGACCCCGCCCGGCTAGGAGGAGGGAGGGTGAGTTGGGGGGAGACCCGGCCCCCAAGGGGCGGGCGCCGGGCAGGGCCCCGCGGGCGGCCGAGGGTTGGGCCGGGCTCCCGGCCCCTCACCGCGGGCCGGCTGACAGGGGGAGGAGCCCGCTGGGAGGGCCGGGGTCTCGAGCTGGGGAGCCGGGTCGGGAGTGCAGCGCAGCCAGGCGCACCGCGGCCGCGCCCCGGGAGGGCTGTTCGGGCCAGCGCCCGCCGGCTCCTCGGTGCTCACGGCGCCTGGCTGGGGCGGGGTGGGGGACTTCGCAGGCCGTCAGTGTCGACATGTTGCTGGAGGAGGTCTGCGCCGGCGACCGGCTGAGTGGGGCCGCAGCCCGGGGCGACGTGCAGGAGGTGCGCCGCCTTCTGCACCGCGAGCTGGTGCATCCCGACGCCCTCAACCGCTTTGGCAAGACAGCGCTGCAGGTGAGGCCGGGCTGGCTCAGGTCAGGGGCGGGGCGGCTCAGCGAGGTGAGTATCGAGACCCCAGAGCCCCTCTCCTCTGGTCTCTTGGCCCTGGTGGTGACCCACTGGGGACCGGTCCTTCTCCAGGCTTTCATTGTTCCCCCACAGTCCCCTTTCGAAGGTGGATGGTGGGTGAGGCTAGGTTGGAGGGGGAGGGGATAGCTTTCCAGATTCTTCTCGGAGGATTCCTGGTTCTCTGAGTGCAGGGGATTCTTTTTCCCTGGGGAGGTTCTTTCTATTCCGTGGGTGGGGGTTCAGCTTCTTTGGATGCCTTTTCCCTGGGGACAGCTCACATTTTTGGGGGCTTCTATGTGGAGATCCGATCTCTGGAAGGAGAGGTACGGTCTCCAGGGGTTCCTCATTTTGTAGGGGGCTCTCTGAGACATATTTGGTTACTTGGGGGTGGGGTCTTAATTCCCAAAGTTTATGCGGATCTTTGGTATAGTGTGGGGGCCCCGGGGGAGAAACAGTGTCAGATTGCAAGAGTCCCTATATTCCCTTGGGAGACATGTTACAGAGGAGTCTCCTTTCTGTTCTTACTTTTAGAATCCTCCTTTCTTTCTTTTTTTTAAGATGGGGTTTCACCATGATGG